TGATTATTTTTTGCCCATCTTTACAAAGATCATATTTATTTAATAAATGATCAATACAATTTTTAATTGAACCACACATTTTATACTCTTTCTTACAGTACCAATTTTATCCAGTTTGCATATCACCCATTTATCACCATCACGAATTTCTGAATTAAAAAATTCCCAAATCCAACTAGATTTTGGTCTTCCAATTGTCCTCCTTCTGTTTTCTGACATGTTGAAAGTTTTTTTAGTTTGTTTTTGTAGATTATCCTATCCATGATTAAATGAAAACAACAAAAATTCTCCCATTGATTATAAAATATAATCTTATCTTTTCAATTTATCAATCAGATTTGATTATCAACATGTGATTAATGTGCATATCAAATTATAAAATTACGACAAATTTTAAATTTTTATTTTAAAATAAATAAAATTTCACATACAAATATTCAATTGTTTAAGCAAAAAAAAAACTTTATTGATCTAAAGTTAAAGCCGAAGAAATATGCCTAAAAAAAGAAGGAATTGTTTATTTTATTATTAATACTATCCATAAAGAAAGAAATAAATAAAAGAATTAACAGTTTAGAGCATTTACCTCAAGATCCATTTAAGCAAGATAAAGAAACTTGCTCTTAAAAAAAAAAATATAAAAAGAATAGTTAATACCATTCATCAAAAAGAGAAACAACTAAAAAAGTTGAGAATATCTACCTGATTACCTCTCAAGATCATTCCATTTCAAAACGTAAGAAGATTTTATTTCTAAATTTTAAAAGTGAATGAATGGTGTTAACCGATTCGGTACGTTGAATAGATTAACTATGATTTGCAGTCAGGGAGATTAAGTACGTTTAACTATGACTGAAATCCAATCAAACAGGACACGCTTAAAAATAGGGGGTTCGTTTATTGTGTAAAAGGTTATACTTTATTATAGAACTTTATAATTACAAAAATAATAACTAATCTGAACTAAGATGAACTAATTCGAACTGAAGGAAACTTAACTTATAACGAAGGAAAATACCAACGTTATTTATATAAAAGTTACTACATATAAAGATATAATAAATATAATAGATATAATAAATATAAGAAATATAACTAATATAATAAAGAGTAAATTTATTCATCGCACGTGCGATGCATCGCCACTTTCCTTTTTTGTAAATTATTTATGTTGATCAACCTGCTTATACATCGCCACCCCCCTTAAAATGGCAATGATAAACATAAAAATTTGCATCGCACGTGCGATAAATAAATTATTTCTATAATAAATATAATAAATAAATTAAATATAATAAATAAAATAATTATATCGATTATATTAAATATAATTAATATAATAAATATAATAGAAATAATAGGCTAAGTAGGCTGCGGCTAGGTCGGCTTGGCACAGTTGAGAACAGTAGATCCTAATTTTCCACATGATCTTCTGGCGCAGTAAGTTGTAACTCTACACGTGACTAGGGGTAACAATGGTTAGTATTATTCAAAAAGAGTGAAATTAATCAAAAGAACCAAGATGATGCCTACCTCATGATCGCCCCATTCCAAGCAACTGAAACAAACAAAGAACTTATTTTTTTAGAAAAAAAAAAATAATTAATAATTGGTACTATTCATAGAAGAAAGAATCAACAAACAAGAATGCCTACCCCCAAGATTGTTCTCTTCCAAGCAGGAGCCAGATGAAGCTGTTTCTAAAATTAAAAAAAAATAAAAAAAAGAGGAAACGAACCAAAAGAACTATTATGTTAAGATCCTTTACTTTGAAATTGTTCTATTCCAAAAACTTATTCAGTTAAAAAAACAATAAAAAAAAATTATCATTCCTAGGAAAAAAATTAACAAACAAGAATGTTTACCTCTCAAGATCACTCCAAAGTCCAAGTGAAATCAGAAGAAACTGTTCCTAAAAATAAAAGAGAAAGAATGGCTGGATAAGTTAATACTGTTTCTAAAAGGAAGAAAACAAATGAATACCTACTTCATTCCAATTTTCAAGCAAGCTGAAGCTATTCCTAGGGAAAAATAAATAAATAAATAAATAATACCGTTCCCATAAGAAAGAAAACAACTAAAGAACCAATACCTACCTTAGCCAAATCAAAACAATAAGACATCTTAAGTAATCTAACAAAGAATTAACAAAAATAAGTCCATCTCCCTATGTCCTATGAAAACTTAAAACACAATACCTTAATCTGCAAACTAAAATTGAAATCTCTTTCTAGTTTGTACTGTACGGTGTCTTGCTTAAAATGTGGCGTAAAGTTTATATTTGGACTAGTAATGTCAGAGTGGAAATGGTCAAATGGAATGTTATTAAGTACGGTATTAAATTTTTTTTTTTATTTTATTTATTTGAAAAAAAAAATTTTTTTTTATATTTATATAAATGGATCATCCAGATAATCTGTTTTTCTGATCCAGATCCATCCGTCATCTGACTGAAAATCTAACGGATGACTTGAATGAATTTCAAATCAGATAAATTCACGGATTGATGGATTGATGGATCAATGGATCGCAACACTATACAAAACTCTATAATTTGATGGCTAAATTTAACGTAATATGAAAGTACCACAGGAAATTCTAAATTGCAATTTTACCTTCTGAACACTTGTACTGTACTGTACTGTACTGTACTGAACTGAACTGAACTGTACTGTACTGTTCTAGTACTATACTAGTACTAATAATACTTCCAGAAAAAATTGTTAATGATCATGCCCATATTTTGATAATAACAACGTAATTTTGGCTGATCCATGTTTTAATAATGATGTAGTTAGCCGAAAAATTCAGCTGAAGGCGCAGTAAATTTTCAGCTAACAACACCCAGCTGAAAAAAATTCATGTTGATCTTGAATATTTTTTGAATATTTTATTGGTTCAACATCTACTATTTTCGGCTAGATATTTACAGCTAACTACATTATTATTTTAAAAAAGTGTAGTTAGCCGTAAATATCAAATGCAATACAATAATTTAAGTGGTAACAGGTAATGAAAATCCTGATTGTTCATATAATATTTACCATTATTATTTAACGGTAAATATTATGTAATTATTACAATAATAATAATTATATACTTTTCTTGATAATATTAATTTATATAATACAGAATCGTTAATTATTAAATGGTATTGTTTGGTGTAAAATTGTTTCTTTAAAATGTTTAATTTTAATATTTGCTTGTAAATAATTTTTAAATTCTTGGAAAATATTTAATAAAATGGATTTAAATATAATCAAAGATAATTTTTTTTAATAAACTTTTTTTCTTTGTTATAAAATTTGCTAAATTTACTGAAATACTTCACTTAACACAGGTCAAAAAGTGAAAAATCAGGCACCAATCAGTCACCAATCAGGTAGCTGATTGGTGACTGATTGGTGACCGATTGGTGACTGATTGATGCCTGATTTTTCACTTTTTGACCTGTGTAATTATGGATTCTATTTAAACAACTTTTAATTAAAACTAGAAAATTCCTTGCCAAATTACCAAGTTTAAGTGAAATAATGTCTTATGGACAAAAGCATAAAAAAATTCAAATTTTATCTTGTGATCTTTCATATATAGATGTTTGTATATCTGAGGGTATAGTTATAGATAAAGGTGCATGTTTATTATTACCAAATGAATTTAATGGTTATATATATGCTGATACAACTGCTGATGGAAATTGCTTATATAATGCAGTATCCTATTTTTTTATTCACGAAAACTCTTTATCAACACAACTTCATCTATTTACAATATTAGAGTTGATGGCATATGCTGATAAATATCTTGTCTTAGAAGTCTTTGAAAAAGATTATTCGTATTCAGATAGAGCATTTTTAAAAGCAAATAATAAGAAATATTAGCAAATATAATATAGAAATATTGCACCATTTGTTGCTGAGATTATGGAAATGTGTCGTATAGGAGCATGGAGAACATTAGGTGCTCTATATGGTTTAGCCTCAGTTAAATATTAGATCACAAAAATATGTAAAAAGCTCTCAGCCAAATAAAAAACAAAGGTTAAAAAAAATTAAAGATGATGATCCAATTGAACAATGGAAAGAAACAAAAGTATCACTAGAGGATCAAATAATAGCAAATGGATTTGTTGAAGCATTTCAAAAGTGTAAAATTCTTTTAAAGGTATTACACAACAAATTGCTGCTAATGAAATTTGTGAATTAGCTAAATCACAAATTGGATTTGGACAATCAGCTGTTTCTAAAATTGTTAAAAAATCTGAATTATCTGCTAATGCATTGATGAGAAATGCCATTAAATTATGGATTGAAAAACAAACTGAAAGTAAGGCATTTGTGGTATGATTAAATTGAATAATAATATAATTAAAATAAATTTTGTTTGAACATTTATTATAGCTTAATAAAATATAAATGATTATAAAATTTTATATATTTTATAATTAAATAAGTTAAATATATTAAATATATATAAAATCATCACATTTTGATGTTACCTCCTTGTCTTGCTGGTTCGCTTTGGTCTCCTGGAATATTATATATTGGTGTTTCTTGCGCCTCTGGTTTGATATTTTCGGCTAACTACACTATTATTTAAAAAAAGTATAGTTAGACGAAAATATTCAGCCAAAAATAGTAGATGTTGAACCAATAAAACATTCAATAAAATATTCTAGATCAACATGAATTTTTTCAGCTGGGTGTTGTTAGCCAAAAATTTACTGCGCCTTCAGCTGAATTTTTCGGCTAACTACACCATTATCATGTTTTAGGTCAAAAATAAGAATCGGCAAATTTATATTCCAAAATTCATTGATCAACAAAATTATTTTCTAAATATATTAATCATAATTTCAGTAAACATTATAATAATGGTGTCAATTATTGTACAAGTTTAAGAAATGCAAAAAAAAAAAAAAACTCTTTTCCCAAAATAATTAAAACATAACAATTCCGCAGTAAAAACGAAAAAATTTTTTTACTCAAGTTTTTTTTATTATGGAAAGCATTAGAACTCTTATTAAAATAGCTGAAAATAACTTTCAGACGAAAGTATATGAGCAAGAAATATATTTAGTACAAGTTTATCAAAGTTTTATAAATTACTTTGAAAGTCTAGCTTCTTCATTTTTTACAGGTCGTGATACAGAAGTTCAATGTAGAATAATACAAAATAATTTCAGCCTAAATGACAAAGAAATTAATAGCTGGGAAGGAAGGGCTTCTTGTTATAAGATGACTCCAGAAAGCTTCACTTTTTTTCTGCATATTGCTATGCTTTCCGCTTCAGAAGGTCTTATTGCAGCAGAGGACCAGATACAGAAACGTGATGAAACTCTATCAGGGGCATTACAGCAAGAAATTAGTAGGCAGAAAGAAGCTGAACGATTAATGGAGTTAATACCAGGGTCGTACAAGAAGTCCAAGTCAAAAAAATTGAAGAAATCAAAAAAATCGAAAAAAAAGATTTCAAAATTCCAACTCGATTCCTCACATCATTCTGAGTCAGAAGGCTTTGATAATGATGTAATTACTTTTGAACCTAGAGGGGAAGTTGATAGTGATAATCAAATGGATGATGATCGAGATTTGAATATAGATCGGTCGATTTCTAAGACTAATGTTGATCAAAATCGGACGATCGCGGAATTATCTGGTACACAACCTAATGTTGATCATTCTCTTATGGAAATTACTTCGGTCACAATAACGCTATTGATAATTGATGTTACACCTCAACCGCAGCAAGTAACACAACAAGAAATAACAATGACGAATTTGACAAAATCTTCGAATAAAAAAAAGAAGTCAAATAAAACTTTAATTCAAAATGTAATTACTGGTCATACACTTACCGATGATGATGCATCGCGAGTCAGAGACATTTTGGTTTATGACGTTCTGGTATCCTGGACTCCTGAAGATATTCTGAAAGAACTAACTTTATGGGAGAAAACTATTTCTTTACAGACGAAGCCACAAAGGAAATATCAGACGCTCCATTTGAAGATAGAATTAAGTACCTTTCGGTTAGCCCAGTTTGAAGTTAATGATAATCCAGTACACTGGTCAGAATAGTCCATTTCAGCAAAATTTTAAATTGCTGAATGTTGGACGAAATTCGGTCTGACATTAGCCGATCAGTACCAAAAAAATTGGCAACTAATTTTATGGACGATTTGCACCGTAACACCTGCCACTCGCAATTAGAAATTGGCAAAGTTTCGGAATTAGTTAAAAAAATTGGCTGTACATATCAATAAAATTCGAACCTGCCATGCAAATGAAATTCGTCATAAACAATCGACTATTCGTTTAAAAATCGATATTGATTATTTGCCGATTTGCAAAAATAAATAAAATCGACCATAATAATTTTGATGAAATTTAGCAAATTTAAGTTTTAAAACCGATTTTATTTCGATTGATTTACCAATTATTTTAATTAAATCAATTAAATCACAAAAATTTCCTACAAAAATAGTAAAAATTTCCTACAAAAATAATACGAAATAATACTAAAATAATAAAAATTTCCTACGAAAATAATACAAAAATAATACAAAAATAATACTAAAATAATAAAAATTTCCTACGAAAATAATACTAAAATAATATGAAAATAATAAAAATTTCCTACAACAATAATACAAAAATAATACGTAAATAATACGTAAACAATACGAAAATAATACGAAATAATACTAAATTAATAAAAATTTCCTACGAAAATAAAAAAATTCAATCCACAATTCCACAAAAAATCCCATAATTTTCAAAAAAAAATCCAAAAAAAACCGACGAATTCACAATCTAAAATTTGAAAAAAAGTTAGTATAATAAAAACTTAAACAAAAATTAAAGTACAAATTTATACCATTTGTCTGTTTTATCTTCCATTTCTGGCAATTCTTCCACTCCCATTAGTTCCGATTCTTCCACTCCCGTTGGTTCCGATTCTTCCATTTCCGTTGGTTCTGATTCTTCCATTTCCGTTGGTTCTGAATCTTCTATTACCACTATTTCATCCATCTCCGCTGACACTTCCGCATCTTCCGCCATTATTAGATTCTCCATCGTTTGAATCAGCATCTCCGGCTCAGAAAAGTTGGTATCGGCCGGCGTATTCTGCTCCATATAGGTCCAATTTGGAGCACCTCGTGGATGACGAGAGACGATATTATATATCTCATCATCATAATTTTGCGTTCATATCAATTGTGCAGATTGAAGAGAGAAAGCGTGTTGGTCCAAGGCATTTCGTAATAAATCTATTAACTATTATTAGAAAAAAATCAATCCTATTACGAAAAAAATAATACAAATAAAAAATAAAAAATAAAAAATGCGACAAATAAGTTATCGAACCTCTTCAGATCTCCAAGGCGGATTATAAACATTGATATGTCTTTTACCATCTGGTTGCTCCTCATCTGATTCAGAATACTCTGGAGAGTGATATCAGTTGTCACTTAAAACATTCAAAAGTTCTTTTCGATCATAATTCTCCAGTTTTTCATCATTTTTGTCGAAAAGCGATTTTGCGCTTTTAACTCGACGTGCCTTTTTCTATATTTAAAGTTTCGACGAATGATGAGATTTTTTTTTTTTGAAATAATAAAGAAATTATTTACCTCATTTAACCGATTGTTTTGATGTAGACAGCGATTATCTTTGTCTAAAGTGCTGCGTTGTTTATATAACAAGCGCACTCTCACACGTCAAATGATCAAAAATAGGCAAAAAAATGGCACAAATCGCATAAACTATTCGCAAATTTGTATAAACTATTTACAAATAGTATAGGTTAATTCATAAATAGCCAAAAATAGCCAAAAATAGCCAAGAATAGCCACTGCTTTTCGCGCCATTTTCTTTGCCAATTTTTAGCATTTCGACCTGTAATCTGCGATGTTTATGTAAAGCGGAGAGCCAAGACTTGACTTGCCTGTATCGTGGAGTATACCTTGGCTTCATCGCTTCAATTAGTAGAGGTATAACCTGTCGAAGAATTTAATCATAAGACTCACTGGTAAACTTTTCATCGTATTTTAATTCTAGTTCAATCGGAAAAGTTTTTAGAATCGTCTTCATCTCGGCCTAAATTGTACAAAATATCAGTTTAGCGAGCGTTAAAAGCATACATTGAAAGAGGATTTTTGGACGAACCCTAGCTTCTTTTTCATCTACTTCCATTTCATCTTTAGAATCGCGCACAAGATTTTTTCCTTTCCTACGCTTTGTTGGTCGTTGATCCTCTTCAAATTTGATATTTTGAAGGTCAGATGAATGTCGGTGATGCAAGCCGTTGTTTTCCTGACTAAGTATATTGTTATACGATTGTAATTGGCCAACGTCTAGCCGTAAGTCATGCAACTCGCCATTTGCATTATCGAGTTGCTGATTTAATTCGTCGATTCTTCCCCGTAAGTAGGCATTTTCTTCTCAGAGATCATACATTTCTAAAAAAACGTTAAAGTCGACCAGAACTCTAAAATGAATACAAAAGTCAATTGTAGCTCACCATTTACATCTCTAGTCCAATTACTACTATAAGGTTCACGTATAATTGGCGTTAATTCTCTCCTATA